GATTGAGGCCTGTTGGGGAGCTGCTTTGATCAGGGGCCAGATCCCTCATGGCTTGGTGCTGTCTTTGTGATAGTGCGTGAGTTGTCTTAAGATCCATTCATTTAAAAGTGTGTGGCTCCTCCCTCCCACTCTCTTGCTTCCTCTCACGATGTAAGATACCCTGTTACCCTTTTCCTTTCAACATGATTGTAAGCTTCTTGAGGGCTTCCCAGAAGCAGATGCTAGCACCATGCTTCCTTTACAGCCTGCATAACCATGAGCCAATTCAACCTCTTTTCTTTTAAATTATCCAGTCTTGGGTATTTCTTTATAGCGATGCAAGAACAGCCTAATACAATAGGATTGCATCTGATGTGTCTCTGCTTCCACAACATCTAGCTGTTATACTGGACCGAGCATAGAAAGTCAACACCAAGATAAAAGTATGCCAAATTGCAGGGTTTATTGCCGGCGACCACAGAGGACTCACCTCTCTCCAACCCGTGGCAGAGAAAGAAGGGTGACAAGACCTTTTTATACCCATAAAAACCACCTTGGGAGTGGGGGTGAGGGGCGGGGATGGGGGTGAGGGGTTTCCGGACATTCCGAGGGCCAGGGGACTATTTGACATTCTGATTGTTACTTAAGTGGTTCACAAAAGCTAAGATTCGTCTACACATTGTCTGGGTAGGGTGGGGATCATAGTCCTTAATTACTCATTCACATTTGGGTTATAGATAGCAGTTTCAACAGAAAGCTGAGGTATGGTTGAGGTATGCGGTTTTATGGGCTTTTTACCATGTCACATAGCAAAGCATGCTGAATAACTGAATAAAAGCTTCCTTACCTAAGCTCTGATGTTAACACTCTGTGCCCTGTCCTTGAATCCCAGTTTCCTCACTAGTTTGTTTCCAGAATAAAAATAATCGGTATAAACTCACTTTGAATTTTCAAAATACTACATATACATTATGAATGTGTCAGAAATGACATGCAGAAGGATTATATATATATATATATATATATATATATTAAGATGATTACATAACTATGTTCATTGCTGCTTCTCAAATATACACAGAAATAGTATTTAATAGGCTAAAATACTGATAGTCTTCTTAAGAATTTTCTATATGATAAAAGTGTAAAATGTACTTCTATGTTCTCTATCAGGCTTAGTAAGACTAGTTTTATTTTTCATTAAAAACTGTGACTTTATATTTTCTTAATCAGCATTTGGACAAATAAAGGTAGCTCATCAATGGCATACACCAAGATAAGAGCTCACAAATTTTCCAATAGGAAATAGAAAAACAGTTCTTATTTTTATAGAGATTGATAAGATTTCAGCTATAATTCTTAATATGGAGACTCTTTGCAAGCATTTGTCTTTTTGTTTAGGCATCTGAGAATTTATTCTGTTTTGGAGAGACTTCCAGCGTGTGTCTGGGTAAGAGGAAACCGTCCTTATCCAAATAAGTAAGCCAAAGGAGACAGACACAACTTCTTTCCATGTGTGACAAACTAAGGCTCCAGCCTGTGTCCTAGACTTGGCTGATAATATCCTCACTGGAGACTTTGGATCATAAGCATTTCATACTGAGATGTAGAAAGAGTTGCAAAACCTTTCATAGCACTGAGTGCTCAACAGCAATGGTGGCCTTAGCAATGTTAGAGAGTACCCAGTGGCATAAATGCCACCTCTGCTGCTACAGATAGTATGTCAATTAGATTATTCCTGCACAGGCCCTGGCTGTTCTCCCTTTTGTCTAGCCTCCCTCTGTGCTGATCTGTTTGCTAAAATTGATTGGCAATTGTTTTTGTGAATTCTGTGAGCTATTTGATATCCATCCACTGTATTCTTTTTTTCTCAAGTTGATGGGTATTAATTTTAATTCTGTGCAACAAGACTCCTCCCTGATTTATATACAGATCCCTGTCTAAACATTTCTAATTGCTGGTACCTTAATGGCACATATAAAACAAATTCTTACCTTGCAAGTGATTATCTCCCATTACTTACTGTCTACTCTATGATTATTTTAAATCATTAAGAGGCTTTTGAGTAGGTTAGCAATGAGAGCTGTAATTATCTTCCAACGGTTAAAAAAAGCATAGATTCTATATCATTCACTGAATAATCACAGTACTGTGGTAAAATCGTGTATTATAAGTTAGATATTTGCTGTTATAAATTTCACTTTAAAATAGTCAAACATATATATTTTATATATATATAATATATATGTAACAGAGTTCATGGTGTAACATATATATATTTTATGAATATATGCATAAAAATATATATTTATATTTTATAAATATATATTATTTATATATTTATAAAATATATATAACATATATATTTAACAAAAAATATATATATTTATATTTTATAAAATATATATGTTACACCATGAACTCTCAGAAAGAAAAGGGATATCATTCAAACTGAAAATAAATGAACAAATGCAGTAGGAATATTTAGCATTTCTAAATATCTTTTTATATTACATTACTTTTTAAAACATATGTTTCAAAAGAAAACATATATGCAGCCAACAAGCATATGAAGAAAAGCTCAATATCACTGATCATTACAGAAATGGCAAATTAAAACCTCTATGAGATACCATCTCACACCAGTCAGAATGGCTATTCTTAAAAAGTCAAAAAATAACAGATACTATCAAAGATACAAAGAAAAGGAAACTCTTACATACACTGTTGGTGGGAGCATAAATTAATTTAACCATTGTGGAAAGCAGTATTGAGATTCCTCAAAGAGCTAAAAGCAGAACTACCATTCAACTTAGCAATCCAATTACTGAGTTTATACCCATAGGAATATAAATCATTCTGTCATAAAGATATGTACATGTGAATGTTCATCACAGCCTTATTCGCAATAGCAAAGACATGAAATCCACCTAAATGCCCATCAATGACAGAGTGGATAAAGAAAATGTGGTACATATACACCATGGAATAATATGCAGCCATAAAAAGAGATTATATCTTTTATGGAACATGGACGGATATGGAGGCTATCATCCTTAGCAAACTAACGGAGGAACAGGAAACCAAATACCACATGTTCTCACTTGTAAATAGGAGCTAAATCATAAGAACTTATCAACACAAAGAAGAAAACAACAAACACTGGGTACTACTTGAGGGTGGAAGGTAGGAGGAGGGAGAGGAACAAAAAAGTAACTATTAGGTACTGGGTTTCATATCTGGGTAATGAAATAATCTGTACAACAAACTCTCATAACTGGAGTTTACCTATGTAACAAACCGTCACATATGTCCCTGAACCTAAAATAAAAGTTATAAAAATGATCATATTTTGCAGATGTTATGACTACTTGAATTTTTAAAAACGTGGAACATTATTGAAAAATTGAGATATTTTTGTAATTTGGAAACTTTATTTTTTCTCTTGATTTTTTTCAAACTATGAAATACTTATGCAACAGAATATAATTTAATCATTAAGAAGTAGTTTAGTGAAAATAATAATAAAAAGGCAACATACAAACAAAAACTACTGTGGTCAGCAAATGTGTCCTTCAGTTCCCACTTCTCATTTATCAATTATTTTCTGTGGTTAAACCAGCTCACACCTTTGAATCTGGTTGCTTATCTGATAAAAACTCACAAATTCTAACAAAATTATTCTCAGGCTTGTACACATTAGCTGAGGTTGTATTCTCTTGTGTGGGTTGCCAACTCTTAATTGTTGCAGAAATGTTGTTATTGGTATTGCTATTGAAACCAGATTTCACCTAATCATGCATTTAACACATTTTTTAAAAACGTATTTTTTTAATGTTTTAATGTTTTAAAAATAGTAGGAAAATTGCTCTCTTTATTCTAATACAAAGTAGTTATTTATCATTTTATTTTCATTTCTTGAATATAGTTATTGCCTATTGCTCTTTGGAAGTCATCTGTTCTTAAGTTAAGAGTATGTTGGCTTCTTTCTTCATCAGCCAGAATAGACATTTTATGTTGACACTATAAATGGTATGACATAACTCACAAATCATTTGTTCTTCTTAGATTTCAAGTTTGTCAACAGAGAAAATGCATTTCAGTTAAGTCCAGGAAAAATATATCAGTGAGCTATAATGAAACTGTCACTAAAAATCAGGGGATCCATTTTAAGTGCCAATTTTGACCCTGTTTACTTGAGAGATTTATTATATTTTTCTGAGTGGGTTATGTTTATTTAATTCATAAAGGTAAGTGGTTAGATTTAATGGTTTTCTTGTCAATTTGCAAGTTTTATAAATATATATTTATATAGCAGATGTTTAGCAAAACAACTACTGTATTGTCTTTTATTGAAGGGCATAAATTGGGATTGATGAGATAGAGCATCTATAAGAATATAACGACATAGATGTGATTCTACTAGAAAGTGGTGATCATTAGTTAGGATAAGCTAGAGTACAAATGTAGTGTGGATTGTGAAGAGTGAGACAGTTCTACCTGGCCTCAAATAAGTTTCTTCCCTTCATATTCCCTTACTGCACTGCTGTTTGAAACTCTCACAATAAAAGTCATGATAGTAAGCACACTTAGGGCACCTTTTACCAAGAATGGACTTTGTTAAAATGCAGATTTCAAATTCTACATAAAGATGAGGACAAGAATTTGGGGTTTCTGATATCACATATGGCCATTCATTAACATTATTATTTGTGTAAAAATATTAAATATTATAATTTCCAGCAATCTGTGGCTAGAAAATGTATCACAGAGATGAAAGAGGTGAAGTACCTATTTTCAGGAAATATATAGTCTCAGCTACACACAGAAAAGGATGTCTAGATAGTATTACAGAGCAATATGATAACATGGCAAATTATTTCAGTGTTCAGTGCTTGAACTTTTGAAACCTACTAAAAATATGCACATTACCTCTAAAAAGAAAGAAAAGAAACTTCATAATGATGTGTCTGTAACTCTCATCTAATCATCAATAAAAGACAAAAAAAACCATTTTTTACCTCCTTGACTATTAGTAACTCAGTAAAACTGGCTGCTGCTGAAGGTCTTGGACCTTGTATCATAGCTCACAGTGAAGTCAGGTTTTTGAATTCCTATTATCTGATTCTGTCCTTGGGGGCTTGCTGCAGGAGTTGCCTCAGGAGAAGTGGCAGAGAAAATGACCTCTGAGGAAAGGTCTCGCTTAGCTCAGAAAATCTCCACCCTGCTACAATGAGTCAGGATTCCTGGGTGGATCTTTGGCAAATCAATCCAGGGCCATCTGTCAAAAAGAAATGAAAAAGTAACCTGTCTCTTTTCGAGATTATTATGTCTTAGCTACAGCAAGAGGAGAAAAATTGGACAAAACAAAGTATATCAAATGAAGAATTAAGAAGTAGATGTTGAAATAGCTTAACTTTTTAGTTTAGGAATGCCAAACTAATATTTCAGTCCATAGTTAATGTATTTGTCAATCACATGAACTTTAACTTTTACTTAAAATAATGAATATGCATAATTCTAAAAGTCAAACTGCTCTCTAAAGCATAAGGTAAAATACTCCAGTCCATTAATGTCTCCACTTCCATCTCATTGCCCACCTCCATGAATACTATTCTCCAAATCCAATTACTGTAACTTCAACTCTTTTAACTGTTTCATCTGGTCTTATATCCATTCATCTAAGTAATATGCTATAGCGGGCACTTGTGAGGCATCATTTCCTTGGCCCACTTAATAGACAGTTTTACATGTATTTGCCAGTGTCCAATATATAGCTACTCTTTACACAAAAAGTCATTCAGCAATGAGTTTGCACAATAATGAAATGCAGAATTTTATGTCCCCTAAGAAACCTTCTGATACTGAGATGAATATAGGGATATAGATGCACAGCTTCCTCATCCTTTGGTGGATTACTCTAAGACATGTCCTGCATGATACCTTAATGGGATATCACCAGAGGGATAGTCTCTGAGTTGTTCACAGTAGTAACCAACTTGGTAACACAGTAATTACTGTCAGTTAACACTTTCCTGTCTTACTTTTCCCAAAACCTCACTTTTATTTTCTGAGATTGCCTTTCCTATCAACTATATATTCCTAGGTCCTTGTCTCCAGTTTGGCTTTCACAGGGAACCAAAACCAGGACAGCTTGTTACACAAAGTCTGGAAAGCAGCCCTTCACATTGGGATTCTGGAACTGGGTCACTCACGAGTCAGATTTCAATAAGAAAAACATATTTGGTAAGTAGGGTGGTGACAATTGCCGGTATGCTTCAGCATCACATTTCCAGAGACTCCAAGATGTATTGCAATGGAAGGAGACAGAGATGGAAGCAGCAGCACTGATTATAACAATGCTTCTCCAAGTGTAGTCCCTAGACAAGCAGCATTAGAACCACTGGGGAACCTGGTAGAAACACAAATTCTTTTTGTCTTCTTAGACTTGTGAAACTGAAATTTGAGGGATGGGGCCCAGAATCTGCTATTTAAGAAGACTTCTAGGTGACTCAAATATATGTTAGGTTTGAGATCCACTATTATACCAGAATCACTTTAAAATTTTGACAATAGTAAAGGACTGGTGAAAATCAGGTGCAGATACTGGGACTGCCTTGGCAAAGAATGAAGGTAGAAAATACTGAGGGTAGCCAGAGAGAAAGGTCAGGTTACCCACAAAGAGAAGCCTATCAGACTCACAGCAGATCTCTCAGCAGAAACCCTACAATCCAGAAGAGAATGGGGGCCAATATTCAACATCCTTAAAGAAAAGAACTTTCAACCCAGAATTTCATATCCAGCCAAACTAAGCTTCACAAGCGAAGGAAAAATAAAATCTTTTGTGAACAAGCAAGTACTCAGAGAACCCATTACCACCAGGCCTGCTTTACAAGAGCTTCTGAAAGAAGCATTACACATAGAAAGGAACAAACAGTATTAGCCTTTCTAAAAATATACCAAAAAGTAAAGAGCATCAACATAATGAAGAATTTACATCAACTAATGGGTAAAATAGCCAGCTAACATCAAATGGCAGTAATCCTAAATTTAAATTGACTAAGTCCCCCAATCAAAAGATACAGCCAAAACCCAACGGTATGTTGCATCCCGACCGATCTTACATGCAACGATACATAAAGACTCAAAACAAAGGGATGGAGAAAGATTTGCCAACCAAATGGAGAGCAAAAATAAATAAATAAACAAAAAGTAGAGGTTGCAATTCTTGCCTCAGATGGAATGGATTTTAAAGCAACAAAGATCAAAAGAGGACACAATGGTAAAAGGATCAATGCAACAAGAAGAGCTAATGATCCTGGATGTGTATGCACCCAATACAGGATACATAAGACTTGTAAAGAGACTTGGACTCCCACACAGTAGTAGAGGGAGATTTCAACATCAAAATTAGATAGATCAAAGAGAAACAAAATTAATAAGGATATCCAGGACTTGAACTCAGATCCGGAACAAGTAAACTTAATAAACATTTATAGAACTCTCCACTTTAAACACACAAGATATGCACTTTTATCAATACCACATCACACCTACTGCAGGTTTACATGAAATATTGGTTGGCCATTATAAGCACAATTGATGGTATAAGGGAGGTATTTAATACCCATTTCTAGACTGCATTCTAGCCTGGGCAATTAAGTAACACTCCTGTTCTCTCTACCCCTTCCTCTTCCCCTTTTTTTTTCTTCTTCATTCCTTTTTCTTTCTTTCTTTCTCTTTCTTTTTTCTTGAAAAAAGAAAAAGAATGAAGGTAAGTGTCTAAAGTCTCCAAAAATTGAAGATGTGAGAAAATTGGATAAAAATTGGGCCCAGAGCACAACTCAGGGCCATCTGTTAAAAAGAAACAAAAAAGTAACATTTTTTTTTTGAGATAAAAATTTGAGTTAAAAAAATTGGGTCTCATACCTAATGAACTTATTATATAAGACCAGGAATTATCCATATTTTCTAGATCCTGGGAAATAACTATGTTCCCTAGGTGGCCCAGAGGTTACTTCTTTCCCTTAGGCAATTAGAAATGAATGCACTAGTGAGCAGGTATCAGCATCATTGAGATGCTCAATGTAGTTGTTGAGTGTAGTATAGGATTGAAGGTAAGAGAAACTATCCTGGAATTAGACTTATTATCAATAGACCTGATATGTTCCCGTAATAGGCAAAAACAAGTGATGATACATACCCATTAGAGACAAAGTAGATGCAATTACCATTATGGCAAGAAAGAGGTGGCAGTCTTGGTGCTTTAATTTGCAAAGATCTGTATGATGTCTAATATATCATATTATTTTCAGTTGTAAGAGAGATAGGCTTCCAACTAAGATATTGTTTGACTTGTGTAACCAGATGGTTTAAAAAATTGAAGTTTAAAAACTTTTGTAACCATGAAAATATTTTTTAAAATGCAAAAGGCTTTCTACCACCAAGATTAAAAAATCATAATCTCTTGCTGAATTTCTAGCTTTGAGCCAAGTGACAAACTCAGCCCTGTTGTTTTAAAAGGAGGCTTTCTCTGAAGAAGGACTCCAACTGACTCACTGCAAACACATACAACATTATCCAAACCTTCCTCCAAAGGAACTAGAGTAAAGATATCTTGGGATGTAGATACCTAGGTCTTTTGAGGATTGTGGCCTACACGGTTTGAGCTGAAACATCACCATGCCTCCTCAGTTAGAGAACTATAAAGGACAGATGATAAATAAAGTGTTGGGGGCCAAGATTAATTCATAGTGGTTTCAGTGGGATAGTGGACCCAACATTTTTCCCAGTGCAAAGTATACAATTGGGAGGATTATACTAAGCAACAGGCAAAACTCCTACATTGCATTTCTAGTTTGTGGAGTAAGAGCTACTATAATAGTAAAAATACTGAACTGAAAGCATATAAAATATTCCTCCTCCTTGTTCCCATTTGACATAGCAAACGAGAAGCAAAACTACATGCCAGGAGGAATGACAGAGTTTGGCACCACCCTCAGAGAATTAACCAGGATGGCTGTCCTCATTGTATTAATGAACATTCCACCTATTTTTTCACAAAAGATGTCAAATGGATATAAAAAAAGATAATGGATTACCCTAAATTTAATAAAGTATTAGCCCCAATTACAGTTGCTGTGCCCTATGTAACATCTCTAAATTGTATTGATACAGAATTTTGCCCTTGGTGTGACATTTGATCTAATAAATCAGCAAAAATAAGAAATAGTTTACATTTATACAGGAAAATTAATAGTCATATTGTTGTCTATGTCTAAAAGTTATGTTGATTGTCCTTCTCTCTGTCACTATGTAGTCTAGAAAACTTAACTATTTATGTTTTGCAGAAAATCATGCTGATAAACTATATTGATGACATTAGGCTAATTTAACATAGTAGACAAGAAATTCCAAGGATTCTGAGTATGCTGACAAGATAATGGCAGAGTGTTGGAGAGATAATCCCTACAGCAATCTAGCGCCTGCCACATCAATTTGTTTTTTTAGGGATAAAATTATCTGGAGCATGCCAAGTAAATCAAAGTTATTGGATCTTGAATCTTCTACCACTACGAAAGAGGCACAGTGCTTTTTGGACCTCTTTGGATTTAAGGGAAGTATATTCTATAATTGAACGTGGCTCTCTGACCTATTTATTATATGACTGTTAAAACTACCTATTTTGAGTGAAACTCTGAGTAAGAGAGAGCTCTGGGGCAGGTCCAGCCTGCAGTGTTCCCTCCCACTTGGAAATCCTAACAAAACCAAAGATATCCTTGATAGCTAAAGATAGGTAAGTAGGAATTACACAAGAAATCACTGGCATAATGCTTTAGGAAATGTCAGTTTGGATCCCTAGAATCTGGAGGGAGAATAGGCCTTCTGTCCCAAAGAACTATCCAGCATTTGAAAATTAGCTACTTGTATGCTATTCAGCTCTGTCTGATGTCAAGTAACCATGAAAACAAAACACTGCATCATTATCTGGATATTATCCTATCTACCAACTTACAAGGAGTACAAATCCATTTTATAATGGAAATAATATACTTGATATTAAGCCCAAGCTTGCTGGTCCAGAGGGTATAAGAAAATTATGTGAATTGATTGTTCACTGCCTCAAATCATCTACCTTTGCTGCATTTTTTGCCTCTCACTTAACTTATAACAATGACCTTTTGGGGATGGGTTCCTTTAGTCAACTGTCAAAACAGGAAAACTCTCAAGTCTGGTTATTGTAAGAATCAGGCTCATATGCTGGACTGCTGCAACACTACAACTCCAAATGTGTGGGTCCCTAGAAGACAGTGCCTGTTGTCTCCAAAGGACAAAGCTAAAGGAAATGCTGTCAACTGGCAGAAACACATATGCTCATCAACTTGGTATGAAAACATAAATATGTATACAGACTTCTAAGCAGTATTTAATCAATTGGCAGGTCTAACTGGAGCCTGGAAATAACAAGATGGAAAATCAGAGCCAAAGTGGTCTCAGGAAGAGGCATAAAGATAGACTTATGAAGGTGAGCAGAAAGTCTGTGGATCTTTGTTTCTCATATCAGTGCATACTAGAGAGGACTATCAGCAAACGAGGTATTCAGCAACAAGGGAGACATATGACTCATCTATCAGGTCTGTGCCAGTCTCAGTTAACCATATGCAGTGAGTCCAAAATCAGAAGCAGGAATGGTACTATGCACTGTCCAATAAGATGGGCTTCTTCTCATCAAGTATGATCCAGCTAAAAGCTGCCAAATAGTAACGTGTCATTGACAGTATAAACTTACCTTTATCCAAAAATGAAACAACGATAATATTCTTAAAACAGAAATCACTTTGGAAAAATAATTGACTAGAATGCCAACTGCAAGTGACTTTTGAAATGAAGTTTGTTCCAACTGGAGAAAATTGAAGGCTTCCTATACATGTGAACAAGTAAGTCTTGGCAGTATTACTTGGCAGTATTACTGCTGGATATTTTTCTAGATCAACGCTTTATGGTTGGCCTCTGCGGGCCTTCTAACTTTTCCTTGATGACTGTCAGATGATTTCTGACACAGGCAAATCCAAACTATCAAAGAATGATTTCACCCTGGTTTACAAAGCTGCAGACCTCTAGCTGTAATCTCATGTGAAAGTTGGCACTGAACTTGGAAGTTTTATATACAAGAAGGTTAATGAGAAATTTGAAACTCCAACAAATCTTGTTTGGAGAGCTGGTAGTGACAACACCCAATTTTGCATTACTACAATATACAAGCTGGCTTGTAGACCTTCTGCATTTGGTAGAGTAACTAATGCCAATCTGAATGCACATGGGTATTCTCAAACGTTTCCATCAGGAGGCAAAGTGATCCTGTCAGCTTAAACTGATGGGACAAATTTCCATGCAGAAGTTTATAAGGTTGGGTTAAGATTTGAACTAGAAGCTTAATGGATATTGAGTGAAGCATTGCATTTGACCCTGCAAGTTAAGAGAAATGAGCCCACAGTATGTTGGCCTTAAAATTCTGTAAAATTTCAAATGAGTAAAGTTTTTAGTCTGTAAAATAACTGTAGTTCTCTCCATAATGAAGTATTGAGATGGCAAGTCAATTCTAGAAGACATACTTGAAAGCACACATGGCAACTGTAATATTTGTGACACGTTTCACTTCAGTTCCTCAGTGTTATTTTACATGTATCCAAATGACAGTGTAGAATCATGTTGTAAAGGAAATGACCCAATTTGACACTTTGTACTTCATGTACTTCAGTTTTCATGATCTTTAAATATATTGCTGTTTTTACTGTAATTGAATTTAATTTTGTATCAAAATAAAATAAGTACCATCAAATTAGGGTACAGTTGCCCATAATATAATGCAAATATGTCTTATTCTGGCCAAGATGTAGCAACAAGTACCAAAATTGCCTGTGGCCTGAAATAACTAAATACTAGAAATAAATAATAAAAATGATACTGATCAGTCCATATGTGTAAGGAAACTTAGCCAAAGCCAAAAAATAAGAATTACTTGATGGTATTCAAGGGAACAATCTCTGAGAATTTCAAAGGGCTGGGAATATTTCTGTTCCAGGTGGCCAGAGAACAAAACCTCATAAAACCCATAGGGCATAGGATAAGTACCTGGATGAATTTTACCTCAGAAGTAGGGAGAATTAGCTGCATGCTAAACACTGTTGCAATTCTGATGAAAAATATGAAATAAAAACAAAACCCAGAAAGTTCAAACTGTTTTAATATAATATGATCATGGTACAGAGCAACACTAAAAAATTAACACCTAACAATGTAAAATTGCCAGTGTCTAGTATCCAATAAGAAAACTATTAGGCATTCAAAAAAAACCAAGGAAAATTGATTTTTTTTTAAAACTGATCCAGTAAATGAAACAGATGAAAGAGTAAGTATAGAAAAATAGAAGGATAAAATAACAGTTATAATTGTATTCTATGCATTCAGGAATCTAGACAATATGTTGAAGCTGTTAAATTGATACATATAAGATACATTTGATACCTAAATTCAATTTCTAGAGGTAAAATTACAATGTCTGAAATAAACAATACACTGGACCTGCTTAATGGAATATTGGGACATATTAGACATACACAGAAAAAGTTTAGTGAACTTGAAGGCACAGCAGTAGAAACTATCCCAAATGAAACACAAAGAGAAAAGTGAATTTAAAAAAATAAAACAAATAAAAACAGTGCATAGGCGAAAATAAAACAAATAAAAACACTGCATTGGCAACAATTTGAAATATCCTAACATACATGTAATTAACATTCCCAAAGCAGAGAAGAGAGGGGGAGAGGCAGAAAAAAAATGTAGGAATACTTATAAAAACATTTATTTCCAATTTTAATAAATGCTATAAACCTGCAGATCCAGGAGGCTCAACAAATCCCAGTCACAATAAACATGAAGATCTACACCAAGTCACGTAATAATGAAATTGCTTAATACCAGTGATGAAGAGAAAAACTTATAAGCATCAGAGGAAAAATACACACACACACACACACACACACACACACACACACACGTCAAAGACCAAAAATTTGGATTGCAGCAGATATCCTATTGGAATCAATGCAAGCCAGCAAACAGTGGAACAATATTTTTAATGCACTGAAAGAAAAATACTGCCAAATAGAATTCTAGACTCTTTTCAAAAATTAAGACAAAATTAATGGAAAAATGGACATCAAAGGTAAAAGAAATTATTACCAGAAAACCTAACCTAAAAGAAATGTCAAAATAACTTTTCTGGGCAGAAAGAAAATACTAGATGAAAATCTGGATCCACACTAAGGAATAGGAAATAATGGTAATTAACCAGAGAAATGAAATTGACTGTTTTCTTAATATTTAAATATTTTTTAAATAAAATGGATAAAGGACAAATAATGGAGTATAGGGTTGATAACATAGGAAAACGTACAATGTATGGTGATAATAGTACAAAGGTTAGGATGGGAGACACGAATTCACCCTTAGAGTCTTGGAAGGAGCATAACCTTGCTTAATTTTATACCTCTAGCCTCCAGAACTCTGAAATAATAAATTTCTGTTGTTTTAGGTCACTAAGTTTGTGGTAATATGTTATGGTAGCCTCAGGAAACATGGAATGCTTGTTTCAAAGTAGTGTTTAATTTTTTCCATATACATCTCTATTTTGTCCGGTTTCTATAATCATTTCGCTTATGATATTTTTATTATTGAAAAGTTCATTTACAAACTTTTATTCTACTTACATTTATTTAATTCTCTTGTTCTTCACAATTATGCTTAGATTACTTAAAATCTTAAATTGGATATTAGACAAAGTTCATCATCTCAAGGTATTTCCCTGTCAATTATTTTTCAGCATCTGCATGTTAGGCAAGTATCACAAAAGTAAGAATTGGGGTTTTGTTTTACTGCTGTGCTTCATATACATACATTAATGGACACTGTGCTTGTGCATTTGTTCTTACATTGAACTCATTATCTTTGGATTTTAAACAGCTAATGGAAAGAGAAATTGTGTGTTTGCATTATATTTAATTCTGACAACTCTGAAGACATGACTATTTTAATTAAACTAACAATATTCTTATTTACCAAAGCTTACTGAAGTAACATGAACTTGAAAAATATTTAGGTTATGTGATGGTTATTATTGTGTCAGTTTGATTGGATTGAAAGATGCAAAGTATTGTTTCTGGGTGTATCTGTGAGGGTGTTGCCAGAGGAGATTAACACAAGAGTCAATAGACTGGTAGAGGAAGACCTACCCTCAATGCAGGTGAACACCATCCAATTGGCTGCCAGTGTGGCTAGAACAAAACAAGTGAAAGAAGGTAGGATAAGCTGGCTTGCTGAGTCTTCTGACTTTCATCTTTCTCCTGTGCTGGATGCTTCCTGCTCGTGAACATCAGACACCAAGTTCCTTGGCCTTTGGACTGTTGGACTTACACTAGTGGTTTGCCTGGGGCTCTGAGACCATCAGCCACAGATTGAACTGTCAGCTTCTCTATGTTTGAGCCTTTGGGACTCAGACTGAGCCACTATTGGCTTCCTGGCCCTTCAGTTGCAGGTGGCCTATTGTGACTTCACCTTGTGATTGTGTGAGTCACTTCTCCTTAATAAAGTCCCTTTCATGTATACATGTCCTTCTGGAGGACGCTGACTGATACAGATTAGTTTGCACTTTTCTTTCTTTTTAAAATCTATTTTGGACTTTATTAAATGAGAAATACATTTCTATAATTGGATCACCATTCATTTGGAGTGTTTTACAGCAGCTAGCATCATGCTAATACAAATCTGGCCCTATCACAATGGGTACCAAACCCTTAAGTGATGTGTCTTCTTTTTTTTTGGTACTTTTAAATTTTTATATTTTTCAACTTTTATTTTTTAGGTTCGGGGGTTTATAAGTGACATTTATGAGGATTCTATTATGCTAAGTGTAGCATGCTAGGGTGATTTCATTTTACCTATGGGGGATTGTGGAATGCTGTACATTCAGAAATTCTGAGTGTGAGCAAGGCAATCTTAAAAACTGTTCTGGAAATTAACACAATTCTTGGAAAATTCACATTGCTCTTTATCTCCAAGTAAAATCAGAGACCAGCAATCAAAAAATAGTTTACCCTGCAATAAAAAGCACAAAAGCAGATGATTCAAAAGCAAATGAAACTTGAAGTATCTGGGGAAATCAGACTAGAAACTAGATGCTCAGCTGGGCTTTGATATGACAGGCTTTTCTTCGCTTCAAGAATGATTTAGAGTCACTTTACTCAAGCCTGAGAGGATCTCAAACACAAATGATAGAGATTAAGGATAGGTAGATAAAAGAAAAAGCAGAATCTAGCTTTAGGTAGTTTGCATTACCTCATATTTTGTTCTAAATTACTATCTAATATTTAAGTAAGTGGTTTAGGTCAGGCATGGTTACTCAGTCCTATAATCCCAGCACTCTGCGAGGCTGAGGCAGGTGGATTTTGAGGTCAGGAGATTGAGACCATCCTGGCCAACATGGTGAAACCCTATCTCTACTAAAAATACAAAAAATCAGCTGGGTTTGGTGGTGTGTCCCAGCTACTCAGGAGGGTGAGGCAGGAGAATTGCTTGAACCGGGAGGTAGACTTGCAGTGAACCGAGATTGCACCACTACACTCCAGTCCAGTGACAGAACGAGACTGCATTTCCAAAAAAAAAAAGTGGTTTAATAGTCTACCAAATGTTTTGCTTTGCTATGCTAACACAAAATTCCATTTGTCTGGGAAACGTCTAAATGAGATGGAAAGATTTGAAACATGAAACAAAACTCAAGGCATCTGCCTAAATTTGTTGACTGAAAACCAAAATCTAGATCAATACATCTACAAGGTAATATAGCCCCTGGAGCACTGGCTTTACAAATTCAAGTCTGTTTTTGGTAAATATCATAACCAACTCAAAGTAGTTTATAAACGAAGAAATACAAAATGCAGTCGTTATCCTCTGGATTAAAAAAAAATCTAGGAACACAGGGAATTGAGTTTTATTCTTTTAGCACTGCATTACTTTGATACATTGCATATTAATGTGATTTTGATAAAGAATTTCAGGAGAGAAAAAATTACAGGCCAATTCTTTAACCTGGCATTCATTTGCCTCATGAAAAATTCATGAAATTATAATATACAAGTAAATTCTAAGTAACTCTTAGATTAATTTAAGTTGATTAATTCTAGATTCTCTCAGTTCTAAAGTCTTTTCACATGAAATATTTCTTACATACATTTTATATTCTCTTCCATATTAAGCTAAATTACTTTATGTAAATCCACATGTGTTCGAAGGTAGATTGAGGCCATATATTTTAATTCAGGGGATGATTTTTTGTACTTCGTCTTGTGTAAAGATATTTTCTGATATGCCAGGTAAAGGATACATGATGAGAATATTTCAATTATGTCCACTTCTCCCTATTGAATTTTATCTTCACATTCCATTTATTAGCACAGGCATTGAATGGAAATGAATTTAAGAAAATAATTAAATGTTTTCTTTTATATTAGCTTTTCATATCACACTTCCTTCTTGTTGACAATAGTCTTCAGATGCAAATGTGCATGTATAATCCAGAAATTAGCTATCATCACTACCTCTAAAGGTTTAGATCAAGTTGTTTACATTTCTTTCTCCACATTTCTGAGAAATCCCAGGAGGACTTTACATCATCGTGGTCCCTTCTGGCTCTATTTTCTTGCCTCTGCTTAACTTGCTTAGGTTATAGATTATTTTGTTTTTCCCCATATATAGTTTCTATTTGGTCTCATGTGGACCCAGATGTGGAACTGGGACCATTTTTTAAATGTTCACAAAGATAACATTTCCCATTTAATGTTTGCAATTACTTTTGCACCAACCAATGATTGTGCATAGCCTTATGCAGGATTCAGCTGAGGGGAGGAGGCAGGTGTCACATCTTTCAAACACTAACATCTTTGTAATGAAAATGTTACAATGAAAATTGATCATCCTACCTCTCAGCAAGGGGGGACTTGTTTTTTTCACCATTCTTTCTGTCTGTAAAATGCCCTTTAACCAGTTTCTGTCTCCCCTTTCTCACATATCTCTTCTCCGCATTCTTCAGCCCTTCTCAGCTAACTGAGTAAAATATTTGGATCCAGGAAATGGCTTGATTTGAGACGTTCTAAGTTTGGGAGTTTTGTAACGTCATTAGATTGGCATAAACATAAATGATGACAGAAGAAAATTCAGCACTTCAATATGCGAGCGAGTGGAGTTAGCAAAGGAGACAGAAAAAGTAAACATGGATGTGAAATGAAACCTAGTAAAGTATGAAATCACAAAATTCAGTGGAAGAAAATAATGCAAAAAAGAAGGAAGTGATAACTGTATGAAATGGTGGCAGTGGATTGCACAAGAAGAGAACTGAGAACTGACAATAGGTATGAAAACAAGGTCATTGATAATCTTGTCACAACCAGTTTTAGTAAAATGTTTTAAATAAAATTTTAAGATTAGACTTAGGAGAAATTTGGAGGTGAGAAACTGGAGATAAACAGTATAGACCACCTCCACTTTGGGAGGGCAAGGTGGGTGGATCATGAGGTCAGGAGATTGAGACCATCCTAGCTAACATGGTGAAACCCCGTCTCTACCATAAGTACAAAAAATTAGCTGGGCATGGTGGCACATGCCTGTAATCCCAGCTGCTTAGGAGGCTGAGGCAGGCGAATCCCTTGAACCAGGAAGTCGGAGGTTGCAGAGAGCCAAGATCGCACCACCGCACTCCATCCTGGCCACAGAACGAGACTCTGTCTCTCAAAACAAACCAAAAAAAGTATAGATCATCCTTTAGAGAGGTCGGCTGTAATAAAGTTTTTCAATAGAAAAAGTTTAACTAAAGGATGATATAGGGTTTGGGAGACCCTATGAGTTGGTAATAATTTCAGGATGATTGTAGGCTGATGGTAATGGTAGATCAGAGAAGGAAAACGTATGATGCAAATGAATTAGATGAGAAAAAGATGTGAGCTATAGCTCAGACTCAGTGGAGGGGTTTGTTTTAGATGGAAGCAGTGAAAGATAATCTGTTTTGACCAGAATGAAAGGCAAAAGATAGTGATCGATATAGAGAAGTCTATTTTTCTAAGTGAAAAAATAGAAAAATTTTCATTTTGAGATTGGAGATGGGAGATGAAATAATTCTTAAATAGCTTGCTCTGGTAGAAATTGTTAGCTACAAAGGTTTATCTGAATGTTATCCTCAACAGTGTTAGTCATTTAAAATGATTTTTCAAAATTGTATCTCATTGTCAATTAAATTTGCATGGTTTTGATAAGGTGCAAGTAAACTCTTTTTATAAATTACAAATCATCATTTAACAAAATAAATATGGACCACTAGAAGTAGGAAAGGACTAATTTGAACCAAGATATTATTAAGAAATCTGTATTTGTTTTAAGTTCTTTGCATTATTGGTAACTGTGTCTGTGTGCTTTGGAATAAGGTCCAAGATTTGAAAACGACTTTGGAGCTCTCTCAAGAAATCCCTTATCCAAGAAATACAGGATAAATAGCCATGTGGAGATTATCAACATCAGGAGTATAACTGTACAACCAGAGCTGATGAATAAATGTTTAGGTATTCCTAGTTTTCTTTTTCAATAATATAAATACATTTTTAATAATGTATATGTTCTTCCATCTCTACTCCATATACTTCCAGAACTAATTTAAAGATATTTAGCTACACAGCAAAATGTCAAACTCATAACTAGTTTATCCATCTAATTTTTAGTGGAAATAGAATTAATTTTCCTCTAATTTGTTGTTGGTATTCTTGCTCTATTTAAATACTGAGACAGAGGTCAGTGGAAGGTAGGGGGAGGGAATTAAAACTGAATAAATTTACAGGTTTCTTTCTACTCTATCACTATTTACTGGTTCAATAATGGATTTCCATGGTGTTTAAAAATCAATTCCCTGAGGACAGGTTATAAAATTTAGATTGAGTGAGCACTATCAGAGGTCAAATTTCTAGTAGGTGGTTAGCTGAGGTATATATTGGCAAAATAAAGTCTGTAAATATGAAATTAAGTATGCTTTGCCAGAGATAATATTGCTGAAAGTAGCTTTGCCAAAATATTTCTGGAGTTAAAGGTATGTTCTCATTAAAGATGTGGTTACTTAGGTTTATAAACACTGCGATTCAAAATTTCAAGGTTCAACTGTAGTTTATCTACTCCATACCTACCTCTATAATAAGATTAAATTTAACCTGTTCATTGGGTTAGAGGGATTTAAATGACATAACTCTAGGAATATTGTCAACTTTTTAGACATGCATTATTAATGAATCGATTCTTCTTTAATAAACCTGAACTAAGACAATTTTCCATGGCAGTTTTCTCTTTAAAGCAAAATACATATATGCACACTATGTACATATACGTATATGTATATAGAGATAGATATAGATGTAGATAGTTACAGATATATATATATATATAGATGTGGTCCCAATCCCCAAAGTATTCTCAGAGCTTTTCCTTGGGAGTTCATGCTCTTGATTAACAAAATTTTTAAATTTAATATCTAGCTATATTTGCAACCTTCAAGTCTCAATGAACTCCTTTCCATTTTGACTCTCATGCTGAGTCA